AACACCAGCAGCAAGAATTTGGTCGCATACAAGTGCTGCAGCAATCAAGTGGGCTGGCGAACAAAAACTTTTAAAAACTTCAGAATATCAGAGATTTTCAGATTTCGTGTTGACAGTTAACAACTGGTTCGACGTACAGAATTCACAAGTTAAGTACGGAAAGCATCCAGGAGTCAACGGCTACGGAGTGGATTTGGCGAAACAAGAACAAACTCTAGTATTGATGAATTTATATACTGAGAGCATGCGAGTTGGTTCCAGAAAGGAATTAATGCCTTTCCAAAAAGGTATTCTCGTAAGCAATCAATCTATACGAGGATTGTTCCAATACTTGCAAAGAAAATATCCAGAAGAGTGCCAGTACATCATTACGAGAAGACTTCAGCAGGACATTCTCGAAAATTTTTTTTCGTACCTAAGGGGAATGGGTTCGACCAAGGATCATCCCTCAGCGTATGACTTTAGGTACAGAATTCGGTGGTACGTTCTCGGTAAGCACTCGCAAGCTGTGTTTACCTTGAACCGAAACACCGAAGAAGACATGGATACTACTTGCATGTCTTCTTCCACTGTCAGTACGACAACTCGAAATTCTAACGAGCAATCAAGAACTTCGGCAACTCCAGTGGCAGAAGAGAATATCGTCACGTCTACGCCAATTCGAGGAATGACACTGCACGCTTCAAAATCAAATGATGGCTTTTCACAAGTGGAAGAGGAGTTGAAACATACAGAAGAATACGCCGACGAAATACCTCTGACCGCAGAATTATTCTCCAGTATCATCAACATTTCTTCGGAAGAATTACTGGAGGAAAATAATGACGACGAGAACGAATCAATGAATAACACTTGCTTAGACATCCATGATGACGAGTTATTTCAAATCGTGCAAGATGGTTTCAAGAGTTCATCTGACTGCTTGAATCTTGTTCAAGAAGCAGGTTTAGAATACGTCGCAGGATTCGTCGCTCACAAATTCAAAGCGAAATATTTATCTTTAGGGAGTACTGAACATGAAGGTGGAACCACAACAAAATGGATTCAAGCAGTTTCTAAAGGTTATCTCACCAATCCTTCAGCAGAGCTCCTAAACGCGAGCAAAGTCGTTGAAAAGTGTTTCACACAATTCCATGGCGACTATTTCTCAAAAGAAAACTTTGTGATAAGCAAAGTTGTGGCACTCGTGAAAAATAGTGCAGATTATCTTAACGAAATACCTGATGAAGTACTTCAATATTTAGTAAAAACTCGCACGTACATAAGAGTTCGAGAGATAAGCAGACGGTCTTATGCGGTAAATGAGAAGAAGAAAAAGGATAAAAAAATGAAAAAAATTCGTTCCAGCACAGTTTAGCGTAAATAAAAGCGCTATGAACATTGTTATTAACGATTAAGTAGTTGGAAACAAAAACCAGATGCGTCTCTTCTGACGGTACTGGTGTACATAAATCCCAGAAACAAATTATTATTACTGTTCATTTATATTTTTCATATTATATCATGTTGGGTCATAAACAATTGTGGTTGTTATAAACAATTTATTAATTTTACGGCTGTATTAATTATATTAATGCAATATATTAATATATTTTATTTAATTTTTTACTAATAATTTTAATATTATATATGTATAAATATATTTTTATCATGTTAGTAATTTAATAAATAATGACACTTGTATTTATCATACTGATT